TTAAAAGAACACTCCAGTGTGATAAATACACACCGTTATTTATAATGGTTGAGTGTTTTCTGGGCCCTGTGGTTGTCCTCCCTGCAGCTCTGCTCCACCTCATCACTGATGATATGGAAGCTAATCTATTATGCTCATCAATTGGCTAGCTGCACCGGCTTCTCACAGAGTGCTCTAGAAGTTTGAGGAAGACTACTCTTCTGGCTGTCAATCATTTTTTTTTTTTTTTATGATTAAAGAAAGAAGGGACACTCTGTTAACCCCTAAAGTATTTCAGCACGCATAAATGTTCTAGTATTTTTGAGTGTTCCTTTAAGGATGCCTGCAAGGGTAAGCCAGAAGATGCACAGGAAACAGGTTTTATTCATATATATATATATATATATATGCATTGTAAAACAATACATAGGTGATATGTTACACGTAGTCTTTTATTCTATGTTGCAATGTAACAACTAGTTAGGGAGTGGCACGGGATGACAGTGCGGCCTTTCTGTTGTAACCATGTTGTCTAATATTGCCCAACCTGCTAGTAAATTAATTTGATCTAAAGTGTTTTTGATACTGTTTTCATTGTATTTTTTAATTCTGCCATATATTTTTGGTTAGATATAAAATAATGTTTAACCTGTAAATGATTTAAAAAAAAAAAAAAATTTTTTTTAAATGTATCTCAGTCTTACCCATTTATATTATTATAGTACATTGTTGTATTCCTTTCTATTTTCTTTAGATTGCCACTATTCCTTCAAGAGTTCAAAATTAGCTTATTTGTTGTGTTCCATTCACACCTAGCCTTTCTTGATTAATAGTTGACCCTAGTCACCAATAGTAATAGCTACTAGGATACATAAAAATAAATGCAGGTACCGAGTGATTGATTGCACAAATCACTCCCTGTGTCAACTGAATTGTACGTTATAACTAATTGCATTTTGAAATTCTCAGCTGTGGTTGCTAGATATAGCGTTTTACATTTAAAGGGAAGAAGGTCAAACAAACAAAAAATAAGCAAGTGTCAGTGGACATTTATGAGTTCTATCCAAAAAGATACAAATTATCTATCAACTTAATTAATTAATTGCTTTAGAAGCTCTTAGGGTCATAGCTTCTTAGCGATGGCAGCACAGTGATGCGGAATTTGGGATTTGTAGATCAAGTTTATTTTTAACCTTGACGCAGACAAGTCTAGAGTGGTTCATTCCGTGGCGGTGAGAGTGTGATCTGCACATCTGGCAGGTGCAGACCACAGTAATTACTCCGCCACAGTGCAACACTTTCTAATGTGTCAGAATGCAAGCTGGTAATCCACCAGTTTTGTGTCGGACCAGAAGCGATTGCTGTAGTTTGCACCTGCGACAGGTGCAGACCACGTGCTCCCATACTAGTCCTCCAGGGAATATAACCCTCCACAGGACCACCAGAATGCCAGGACTTTTCACAAAGAAAGATAAATTGTGTGTTGGGATCAGAGCACCACATGCTACATAAAGCCACATGCACAATACACACTAAATACAGTCAGCACACACTACACTCATAACATACAGCCAACACAAACTGCAAACAGCACATATCATACACGCACTACATACAGCCAGCATGCACCATATATACATTACATACAGCCAGCACACACATTACAGAACGCTAGTACACACCACACACTACACCCAGCACACACATTGCACCCAGTCCACACACGCTATGAGGGATACAAATGACTCTTTGTAAGAACATTTCCCAAAGAAAAGCAATACTCTCACTCACTCTGGTTTAAAGCCACAGTATCAGCATCAAAATAGAGTGACATCTGTCATTCCTATACTTGTGTAGCAAGTGCCAGACATGACTGCAAGAGGAGTAATCATGGCAACTACAAATCACAAGCTGTCTCTGCGCCAGCTTAGAGCAAGTGAACTTTCTGTAGGAGGGTAGAAGGGTTCTCCAGTTTTCCTCATTCCTCAATTAATGGCACAGAGGCCTGTACCTTCAGCATTGCCCTCTATGCTGAATATGGATTGCCAGGTTTGGGAGGGACTAAAACTTTACATTTAAATTTGCTAGAAATTCTGTTAGCATAATGCCAAACTGACAAACAGTCTTTCCTTTTAACTAAAGTTAAGTGCACCATGACAGGTACACTTTAAAGGATAAGTGGATGTAACCACATACCACCATGCGTTGCAGGAGATAGTTCTAATTCTAAATAATTATTGCACTGACAAATACTGCAACTGCTAAAAAGTATAGCAAAACTACATAGCTCATATTTAAAGTGACACTATAGGCACCCAGACCACTTCATTTCATTCAGGTGGTCTGGGAGCAGTGCCCCTGTACCTGTTAGTCCTGCAACGTAAAACATTGCAGTTTAGAGAGACTACAATGTTTACATTGCAGTACTAAGACTGCCTTTAGTGGCGTTTCCTGGAGTTTCGCGGAGTTTAACTGCATGAAAAGAATACATCTTTATATATGTATCCTAAAATGTTCCTCTAATGTATTGCATCCAGTGCAAAATTCATTAAAGAGAACCTTTAGGGAACAATCATTATTTTGGGACTATAGGTTCCCTTATAGCAGTGGTTTCCAACCCAGTCCTCAAGTACCCCCTACCAGTCCAAGATTTAGGGATTACCCTGTTGTATATAAAGTGTTTTTTTTCTTTTCTTTTTCTCAAAACACCTTAAACACCACTGGTAATCCCTAAATCCTGGACTGTTAGGGGGTACTTGAGGACTGGGTTGGGAACCACTGCCTTATAGCAATCCTGTCCATTTCACTGTCCATTTAATTTTACTCAGTAAAAGTAAGGTTGAAGATAACTCACCTATAGCATCCAGTCCAATGCTTCACATATTGGACTGAGACGAAGGTTCTGGAGGAGGAAGCATCTCTAGTGACAGTTAGCAGAGATGTCCTTGCAATGAAAATATTGCGTTTTTTACTAAATTGCAATGTTATACATTGCAGGGTTACAATAAAAAGGACCATTGCACCCAAACCACTTTATTGAGATGACATAGTCTGGCTGACTTTAGTGGTCCTCTGAGCACAATTCATCATTAGGTCAGAACGTTCACTATGTAAATTATAACGTGAAATGCTTTGGCAGCAGAGACTGACTAACCCAATTTCTATTGCCAGACCATTTTACAAATAAGAAGGAATATCTTTGAGTAAAAACTCAAAAACATTACAGTGTTTGTTGCTTCTGTCTTTTCCTGGATCAGTGCTTCTAGTGGTTCGTGGAAAGGTTACATTTTATAGATTTTATCTTCATTCAATATATTTAACAATGTGGCACAATGAATGCTGATTTTACTTAGTATTTTCCTGTTAACTGATCTGTATTCATTAGTAAAAATTAGCTGTTTAAATTAAAGGAAGCATTTTTTGTTTGTGTGACGTACATATCAACTTCCAGAATCACTTTCTCAGCAGTTTACAAAGTACAAACCATCTGTGTGTTTCTCCTAGATGTACAAAATACTCATCTGAACGGACATGCCAGGATTGCAAACGGCCCAACCACTATGCTTCCAATATTCAAACCAAACAATTACAAATGGTCCTACGTATCTCACTCCAGGGCAAGAAGAGAGATACATGGGACCATTTATCAAGCCATCTATCATCTGCCCTCCCTAGGTCACGTGCAGGCAACCTTCGGCACTCTAGCTGTTGTGGACCACATCTTCCATAATGCTCTTTCAGCTGCAATGCTGGTAAAGCATCAGGTGAGATGTCGTCTACAACATCTAGATTTGAGTGCCATAGGTTGCCTACCCTGCTCTAGGTTTATGATGCTAGAAGAGTATCAGGGTTCAGCTGTAGAGCTACAGTGTTCCCACAAAAACTCAAATATTGTTGAAGTGAATAACTGACGACTGAAGATGGTCCAGTGAGGTGACTAATTAGTCTAAGGAACAAATTATGTTCTAGAGCTGTCTGCAGTTTACCACTCTATTATAGACAGTCCATTATTATTGTGTGGCGGAACCAACCTGGAGAAGCCTGTGTGCCCACCTCCTGCCTGCTGACTATGGCCCCTGGGAGATTTGGCCCTTTAAATACAGTATTTGGGCATATTGTATTTTATTATGCTGCTGGCCCTTTAAGAACCATCTGGGGACATACTGTGACTTTTGGGAACAATGCCCCTTCAAGACTGTGTCCCCTGTCCCCCTAATATACTCTGTTTGTGCCCTTTTCCCACTTGGTTCAGTAAATGGGGCTTACTGAACCAAGTACCACGCTGGGTGGCCGCCGTTCGCACAAACGAACACGTGGCGACGCCATCGTTTTTAATTCAAATGCGGTCAGTGGTGTGTGGAGCCAAATTCATGGAACTGAAATCGGCTACACAGTTCCACGAACACCGCTGACCCTTACCTTCTCCTACACTCTGTTTTCAGCTACAGAGACTAAGTCCAGTTCGGCAGTTTGAACTCACTGTTATACTGAGCCAAATGCACGAACGGCCTCGTTTGTGCATTCGAATGGGACTTTTCAGTCCTGCCCAAATCTATGGAACTGTTTTGGGCAGGAAACTGTGCTTGCGGTCGGTCATAATGGACTCCCACCTAACTTTTTAAGTACTGGACGGATTTGGATGCATTTTGGTTATGTTTATATTTAAAGTATGCTGGTTCTGAAAATGTATGTTTTGTGAAGAGTGAATGTATATTTTTAAAGTTACAGTGTATGTATAAAAAGTATATTTTCCCTGCCTGTGATAATTACATTAACCCATTGTGTGCAGTAATTATATCACAGGCAGAGGGGAGGATTTTGTGGGAGTGAATGGGTGTGGGTTTACTGTATGTTACGTGCTTTATTGGTTATTTTACAAAACACTGTGGGCGGTACTGTATCTGTAAAACCTGCATAAAAGAAGGCCCTTTGGTGCCAAGTAAATCAGTTCTACTTCACCCTCAATTTGGAGTGCCGTCTCTTATTGTGGGGATCTGCTTCAAGGGATTGCTATGCTCTGCATATTCCCTTGCTATAATCACTACTAAGTTCTTTTGAGAGCTTGTTCCTGCCTTGCTTTCTGGAGGAGTCTACGGTGGTTGTGGTGTCTGCTGCAGTGCTTGGAGTCCTCAGGAAGCGTTAGGAGCATCCTTCAACCGAGGTACCCAGTCGGGGTGTCCATCGATCCGTTACATTATGTTATTATTTATATAGCGGCAACAAATTCTGCAGTGCTTTATTTAGCACGTGAGTTCCACAGGAACAGTGCAGCCCTTGAAAGTCTTGAAGGCGAGCATCAGAGGTGGGAGTACGGGCAGAAGATAGACGTAAGTCTTGAGCAGAGCGTAAGGGTCTAGACGAGACATACATGTGTATTAGGGAGAATAGACAGGTGGGAGCAGCATGTCGAGATTTGAAAGCAAAACACGAAAATGAGCCTCGCCACCGCATTCATTATGGACTGTAACGGCACAAGTTGGGAGCACGTAAAACCCCTGAGAAGCGGATTACAGTAGTCAAAGCGAGAAAGGACAGTGGAATGGACCAGCACATTAGTCGCATCTGGCGTTAAGTAGGGTCGGATGCATGCAATGTTTTTGAGATGGAAGCAGCAGGATTTGGTGATAGACTGAACATGAGGCATGAAGATGAGGACGGAATCAAAGAGAACACTTAGGCAGTGAGCCTGCGTGGTGGAGCCGATGGTAGCACCGTTGACTTGGAGAGAGGGAGACACAGGAGTAGCAACAATTGAGATAGGAAAGTCCATAAAGTGATGTCCATTAAATTTACAGACTTTCACGAATAATCTGAAAGAAACACACACACACACATTACTTCATCACACTGTTCCTCTAACCATCTGTGTGGTCCCTCAAAACCATTGTTTTAAAAATAAACCTAAAACATAATTTCATGCCAAACTTTCAAACAAAACAAATGTTTATTGTGATAATCTCTTAATACAGGTATTACTTTCCTTACAAAACGAAATCTTCAGAAAGGGAATAAACTTAGTTCCTAAGACAATAGTATGTTTGAATGTAAAAATAAATAGGAGTATAAAAAAAATACTCATTAGAAATCATAAGATGCCAAACATGCATATCCAATAGCAACAGAAAAATATTTTGAGTCCACATGTATTTTAGAGAATCTGAGGTTTATTCACTACGCTATGTATGTTCTGAACTAAAAAGATAGTTTTTTTTTTTGTTTTTTTTAAATGTTAGGCTTTTGGATACATAATGTTACCACAAAAATAAACCTTACACAAAGTTAGAGAATGCTTTTTTGTTTTTATAATTAACACTCGTGATGTGAGTCCTCAAGAAACATTCCAATTACACTATAGTGGCTATGATGCTAGGAGAGTGCCGTGACTCCCCTCCCCCCAAACTATTTTCTGGAGAGCCAGAAGTTCCTAAGCTTAAGTCCTGCAATGTACGGCTAGCTCACTGGTTTAGCGCAAAGGCTGATCACTCTCAGCCAATGTGCTAAGCCCTGCACCTATGGGTTTTCATAGAAAAGGCCATGTTTACATTGCTGCCTAGGAACACCTCTAGTGGCCACTGCTCAGACAGCCACTAGAGGTGCTTCCTGTGTCAGTGCGGCAAAGTGTGCTGCATTAATGTAAAGCGCATGCAGAACGCTGAACGTTCCCCATAGAGAGGCATTGATTCAATGAGAAGATGCTGATTGGCCAGCACAGCGTTTTACTCCTCATTCATCAATTATGACTTTTTGATGATGTCAGCCCAGGATACGAATCGGGGCGGACCAGCACGGACAGACCCGTACTTCACAGGAAACATGGGGGTTAATAGTGATTTCAAAACTATGGGATCAGAAATACACATTTGTATTCCTAACACTACAGTGCACTCTGCCCCCGCTCCTCCCTCTACCTGACCATGTAAAGATTAAAAAACCCTTTAAACACTTACCTGATTCCAGCACCGATCCTTCTCTGCCGACATCAGCGAGAGCCAAGAATTTAATGCTTTCCTACAGAGTTTTTTAACATGCCGGAAACTCTGAAACTGCAGGAAGTGGCTTTAATGGTTGTTTGATAGACAGCCACTAGAGGCCGTCTTAACCTGCAATGTAAACACTGCTGTTTATGTAACACTGCAATAGTTTAAATTGCAGGGTTAAGGGAACAAAAACACTGCTCCCAGACACTTCAATGAGATTAAGTTGTCTCAGTGCCTATAGTGTCCTTTTAACATAGTATTAACTGGAACAGCAAAAGTGGACAAGTCTACCAGCAAACAGAAACATATTCAAAGTAGCATTTACCAAAGTCCTTTCCGTTTAAGTTGTTTTTAATACAGGTGGTCCTCATTTAGCGCCTTACCTGTTTTACGACGGCTCGCACTTACGACCAGGTGTAAGTGCGAGCCATCGTGGGGATTCCCTGCTCTGATGCGCATGTCTAAGTTCGGGAAAACTTCCCCGAACAAAGATTAGAGAGGTTCCCTGCTCTGGTGCGTTCGTCTATGTTGAGGGACGTTTCTCCAAACATAGACAAACGCACCAGAGAAGGGAATTCAATTTACTCCTCACTTACCAACCAATTTGTTCTACGACTGGGTCATAGGAACGGTACCCGGTCGGTAAGTGAGGAATGTCTGTATTTCATTTAGAAAACATAACACAATATAAAGTGTTCTCAACTTTAGTTAGATAGTTGCAAAGAGGGTGGAATGAGCAATGCTTCCCAGGAGGGCACCAAGCCAAGTGGTTTTGTTGTGTGGGTCACAGGATAACAGGCAGCATAACAATGTAATTGAAATAAAGTTGTTATGGTGCCAGAATGTCCCTGGCACCGGCTTACCTTTAGAGGTTAAACCCCTCACAAGACTTTACTTTAACCCTTAAGTCTTGAATCGGGTGCTGTTAGCTCTGCCCTTGCCCTTTACAATGCTCTCCTTTTCTTCAGACAGGGGTGCCGATGTATGGCTAAAAGCATCAGCTAATGCTCTAAGCCAATCAATAAATTTCCATGCATAAAACCGGCTTAAACAAAAGTATATTTGTCAAGCCCTTCAGAGAGCAGCAAAATACCAGGGACAGAGCTAAACTATGCTGGAATCAAGACTTTGGGGTTAAACCATTCGTGAACAGTCTAATCCCTAAAGGTAAGCCAGCACCAGGGATCTTCTTACACCATAACAATTTAATTCTGATAAATTTGTTATGGTTCCTGGAGGTACCCTTTAACACACATTTTTAAAGACAATGGAGCATCACACAAAGAACAAAAAAGTTTAACACCCATTGCAGGTGATTTTCACTGTTTTATTCAGTGCTGTAATTTCCATAAAAGCGATGGTTCCTATTTAAAATTATAAATATAGTACCCTATATTTCTGGGATCCCTACATGCAAGAGAAGTTGGTGTTAAGTTTGTCACATATAAAGGAAAATTAGTAAGGAACTAAAAAGTTTACACTTTTATTAAATAAAAAAAAATTTCAGGAACCTTTGTACAGAACAAAAAGAACAAACAAAAAAAAAACAAAAAAAAACGGAGAGTCTTGACATCAGCTATAATCTGAGTTACCATTGAAGTCATTTTCCTGGAAATCTTGTTAGGAGCACATTTTAAAAAAAACCCACTGTTCTTGTCATTGCCTTGTAAGTTATTTTCTGATCTCATCAACAGATTTGTAATCTTTCCATGAAGCAATTCATTTTCATAGATTTTGAGAAAACTGAGCCAACACATGCATAAATACATTATAAAAATAGATACGTTCAGCCAGGGATTTTAGAAAACATGAACGGAAAATTTCACATTTCAGACCAGAATAGTCAAAAGGGGAACGGCATTGCACTGGCAAGGCCAATTGGTCACTTTGGCCTAAATTGTAAAATGGTCACTTTGGCCTAAATTGTAAAATGATCTTGCCAGTTCTCCACAATTTCCAATTTAGTAAGTAAACCCCCGTAGTGCTTGAACTAGCTTATACAGGTGGCTTTCTGATTAAAGCAAACACCTGCTTCAGCTTTAGAATTGAAATGCTAACTACGTAAACCTTCAGTATGCAGTTGTCTGTATGACATCGCTGTATTTTCTGTAAGGATTTAAAATGCATAGATTACATGTCTTCTGGCACGACTTGGAATTAATGAAAAACAGAATGAAATGCCTGCGTGCTAGACATTTGAAAACAACTATTAAAGGTTATACGTCTATATTCAGAATGCAGGATCTGAATAACAAGCTGCATTAACCCACACAAACGCGATGCATTAACAGATGGTTATTTTGCATATTCTGAGAAAGAGCTCACAAAAGTGTAGAGAAAACAAACTTGCACTGTAAATTTAAACCCAAATTGTGGAAAATACTTATGTCCCAGCTAAAGTAAAGATATCAGATCAAGCATTAAATTTCAGTCATATTAAAGGGATACTATGTCACCAGAACCACTACAGCGTAATGAAATTGTTCTGGTGTCTATAGTCTGTCCTTGCACACATTTTAATGTAAACATTGCAGTTTCAGAGTAAATGCAGTGTTTACATTACTGCCTAGTAAAACCTCTAGTGGCACTTGTCACGAACGCACCCTTCTTCAAGAGTGTGCAGGACGCAGTTGTGGTGGTGAAAGGGTTAAAGTTTACTATTTGTCTGCACTAAACCGGAAATAATGACAAATCCCCATTAACACCACCCACCATTAAACATAATAATATACCTTTCTCATTAGAGATATCTTTGCCAGAAGCTCAAGGAAGCAGGGTGAAAGGTTAGTGTAGGACCCACCTGAGAGGTTTGCCTTGACATGGCAGGTGGGCTAAAGTCTCTCATGACTATTGGAGAAACTAAATAACCTCCATTTCTTTAAAGGCTCACTATAGGGTCAGGAACACAAACATGTATTCCTGACCCTATAGTGCCAACACCACCATCTAGCCCCCCTGTAGTCAAGCCTGAAGCTGTTACTCTGCATGCTGTTAGACTCAGAAAAACAAGCAGTCTGCTGACATCATTAGAAGTGGTGGCCTGTTCCAATCACAGTGCTTCCCCATAGGATTGGCTGAGACTGACAAAGAGGCAGATCAGGGGCAGAGTCAGCATGATTCAAACACAGCCCTGGCCAATCAGCATCTCCTCATAGAGATGAATTGAATCAATGAATCTCTATGAGGAAAGTTCAGTGTCTGCATGCAGAGGGAGGAAATACTGAATGTTTGGATGCATTTTAGGCAGCCATGACCCAGGAAGGATCTCTGACAGCCATCTAAGGAGTGGCCTGTGAAGTTATCACTAGGCTGTAATGTAAACACTGCATT